CAACATTTACTTACTAAAATGTTGTCAAAAGACCCTTTTGACAACTGACAAATGTTGCCTTTTTAATGTTGCAAAAGACCATTTTTGGTGTAGTGTTAGTCTCATATTTCTTGTGATGGGATATTGTGTTGGCCTATGGTCTATGCTTGTTCTTACACTTCAACTCATTTGCTATGCTTACTTTCCCTCTGTTTCTTTTGGTCCTTCAGTGAAATTTTGGTAAAAAAACATTCATAGCCTGGTTACACCTCTGAAGCCCAACTTCATACTAGTGACGCTCTTCAGCCCTTGATTCGTGTCGAACATGATCGAACTCATTGTCTCTTGGTGAAATCAACTGTTTAGGCAAAGCCACAGAATAAGTCCTTGAATAAAACAAGTTAGAGTCCATCCCATGCGTGATGTCGATGGAGCTCTAAGTGGAGATTCTTATCCCATTTATTTAGAATGAAAACTAAAATTCTGAGGTCTTTCCTAAATATGGTACCTTAGGAAATCACCTAACTTTATTACAGGTTGAGCCGACTTTGCCGAGGCAGGTGCTTCATCGCCAAAGGCCAAATGTCTCTGCTTAAGCGGTAAGAAGCTAACAATAGCCTATGTAACGCCAAGCTTAATGTGTAAAGCACGGAAACCAGCACGACTCTCAACATTCAATTGAAGTGTGACATACACTCTACCATGATGACACCACTCCATTTTTCGTATTGAAAGGAGTCACTTCTCGTCTACCAAAACTCCCCTACCATGCACTCTAAGATAAAATAGAACACTCTTGTCAAAATTTTGTTGAATTCAAACACTAGACTAACTTGACATTCAAAGTTGAATTAATGAGAAATGATCTACTAAACACCCTTAGTGTCATGATGTATCAATTACTTGATACATCATTTAGGCCTTGTTTAGGTCCCATTTCTTCTTCTTCTTTTTTTCTTTTTTTTTTTTTTTTTGGCGAAAAAATAGGTTTTGGAATAGTAATTTTCTGGATTATGTGGTTAAAAAATGAGAAAAAAATGTAAAATTATTTTATGGAGAATGTGTGGTTGAAAATGAGTTTTGAGAAGAATGAAGCTCAAACATAGGCTTAATTCTTAGGACTTACCATGAAATTATTCTCTAATTAATTAGAATAAGTCTGCACGTACAGGGAAATTCAACATGTTTTTACACAGAAAGAGCTGTCTTCTTGTTCAAAAATCTGTTGAATTTTCTTGTACTCGTAACATTTTTCAATTAATTAATGTGTTATGTCACTATTGCTTATCATTAGCTAAGCAACGGTACTAGATAGATCATTTACCATTGTTATCAATTACCATTTGCCTCCAATAGGTAGCCTCACTTGTCATTCTTATTTTAAATATTTCTCGTTGATATCACATAAGTAGATTTCAATTTCAATAGATTTTGTAATGTGGACAGAAGATTGAAACATTATCCATTTTAACTACTCCATCATTGTTATATCATTAATTAATGGGACTCAACTATAGCTCATTGACTAGCAATATATTGCTTCCTTAGTTAATCAATAATCGTTAATATAGAGTTGATATCCTTATCCAGTCACTGTGGACATGACAAGAGAACCTTAGTTATGGTTCTCTGAAATTAATCAATAATCGTTAATATAGAATTGGTATCCTTTTTCAGTGGATAGGATAAAAACTTTTCAATGTTGTCATCGCAAGAGAACCTTAGTTATGATTCTTTGAATTTATGATCGTTTCGAAGAACCATAACTAAGGCTCTCTTGTCAAGTTAAAAGTGAGAAATTTCTTTTCTGCTCATGGAGAGCAAGAGATTTGGACTAATCTTTAATAATAGCATTTTTCTTTATAAAAAAAAAAAGTAAGTTAGAAAGCAAGATTTATTTATTGGCCTCCTCAGGGTTCTTTCAGTTCTATTCTCCACCGAAAACTCATTAGTAATTATTTATAATAACTAATATTTGTGTTCGTAGAAGGAAATGCAAGTAAATATTAAGTCGATAAATTTTGTCAGAGGCTTAGTAAAAAGGTCTGTCTAGTTTTCAGATTTAAGTCCTATTTGGGAGGAATTAGATTTTTCTACAGTAAATCAATTCTCATTTTCAACCACACATTTTTCAATAAAATAATATTTTTCATCACATCAATAATTTTTTCTTCTTTTTCAACCACACATTTCCCATCATATCACTATTTAAAATCAATTTT